TTAAACCATGAAATTAAGGGATCTATACGCTTTGGTATAGGATACCAGTCCTGGTTATTATGTTCCCTTGCAACACTGACTTTGAGCATAAGGGAAAGGTATGTGTTTCTATATTGGAGATTAAGGTCCCATGCAAATTTAAGAGCTGAACTGATTGTTGATTGCCCAAGAGCGAGGAAGCATGGGATTCTTTCCTATGTTCATACATGTTTCCTTCAAGCACCTGTTTTCTTTATGCTCTTCTACACGTAACTAACTTGAAAACATATAATATTTTATGGCAATAGAAGGCAGAAATCTTGTCCTTGAAAAAACATATTTAATTATTCAACAGAAAGTCCAGTAACTTAAATTTAGTAACCCACATTTAAGTATACCAGATCTTTTCAGCTAAGGCACTTAAAAAGACTTTAAGGTGAGCTGGGAGTACTGTACTATCGTGCAATGCTTTTACAATGCCCTTACCATATCCTCTATATTTTGATCTTATATTAAGAATGGGAAGGCCTTACCTTCCACGTCTTCAGACTTTTGAAAGAAAATACAAAGAACCAACTGTAAATAAATTAAAAAATAAAATAAAAAATAAAATAAAAAATAAAATAAAATAAAATAAAATAAAATAAAATAAAATAAAATAAAATAAAATAAAATAAAATAAAATAAAATAAAATAAAATAAAATTGTTTGCATATACATTATTTCCTTAATTTGAAGCCATTTTATATTTCCTTTTAACTAGGAAAATTGAGAGACACACTCATGAAAGACAAAATAATTTCAATTGCTCAGATAATATAAAGAAATTAAAAGGAGCACAGTAAAGATATGAAACAGAAAAAGGAGGCAAATTTTATCACTGCCATCCAAAGATTCCAACTCTGTGATACCTCCCCAGTGCACTTACTCTGCTCATGTTCTCACTGCACTGAGTCTGAGCACTGCTGACCATGAAGATTAATCTAACGCCTGAAAAATGCCAAAATCAAGAAAAAAAGCATGCAGGGTCTATGATTAGAACACACATCCGAGATTCTAGCTTTATGGATATATAAAGCAGTATCATGCTACTTAGTGTCACCATCCTTACATACTTGCATTTTAAATGAGCTTACATCGGGTTAGTAAAGATGACTAAGTAACTTCAGGATCTCAAAAGATTACAGCACAAGCATTATTAATTATTTTAACCTTAAAAAAAAAAAAAAAAAAAAAAAAAAAACACACAAACACACTTGCATTTATTCAATTGTTTTCATATCAAATTTCATATACACACATTTTCCAGTACATACTCCCCAAATGCTACTTTAAGTGTATGTTGCAGTCTGCAAAACTGTTACTACTTTTTGGAGACAAAAGTAGAAGTAGTAGTGAAGGTTACCAAACTGAAAACATTGAATGTAAACTGCATGTTAATTGTCATGTAGCTGGTTCGCTTGTATTGGTCATGCAGCTAGTGACAGTCATAGATGCTGATGGAGTCCGACCTATTTGAAGATGCTGGCATTTTGGTAAAAAAGAAACAAAAAACACAAAGGCATAGAAGCTATCTCTGCAGTCTGTGGAGAAAGAAAAGGAGAGAGAGGGGCTTCTAACAGCTCAAGCAGAGGAGGAAAATTAGAAAGGAAAGCCAGTACCACTACCATATGTGCTCATAGCTCGTCAGGACAGCTGGCAAGAAACGTTGCTCTTCTCTTACTTCAAGGGCTTTGATACATTTCTTTATATGGCTATCAATAATACTGAATGATTAATGCTAATGATTTATGTTAATTTCATTATAAGCTTTATTTGTTGCCCAGTGTTGAGTTAAGCCTGTCAAATCATCGTTTTCTACATTGTTATCGATTCTTAAAATGCAAAGCTAAACATAACATCTGATCATTAATATGTTAATGCACCTGTTTCATATATAAACAGGAAAACAAGAAAATGGCTATTTAAAGTTGATTCTGAGAACAGTAGTTCAGGGATCCTGTATGTACTTACTCCCAGTTACTTAAATACTTACAGGAAAAGAAAGGCAAAACAAAGATTGTTTTCGGATATCAGGTTGCATAACACCAGTCCTTAAACAGTAAATACTACATTACACACCCTTCAGTGAGCAAGCAAGCTCTCTGCTGAGACACCCGTTTTCCACCATTCTACATTAAGCTACCTCTGACTGTTCAAAACAAGTGGAAATATGACAAGAAGATGCACAGGATAGTATTTAACTATGCTAACCAGAAATACCTCCTCCAGCTCAGACCAACTTTCCTTTCGTGTTTCTCTCCATTTTATGGAGAATAACTGTCAGTCTGTAACTTCTTATTCTCAGATTGGGTTTCTTGTTATCACCACCTTGGGCTGAAAGAAGGAAAAGGGAAGTTGTTGCTGTTCCAGAAATTCTAAGCCTATTCCCTGGCTTTCTTAAAATCCATTTCTGTTAATGCAGCTCATTTGAACCTAGAAAACCTAGAACCTAGAAAAAGATCCAGACAGAGACCCACACCAGATTACTTTCAAGCTGCAAAGCCACAACTGGACACCTTCCCACCCTGTAGGGTCATGAGGATCCCTATATATAGGGACCCACCAGCTGTTGTTGACAGAGGACAGAAATGCTTCCAAATCCAAAAAAAAAAAGAGAGAAAAAGAGACAGCAATATCAGCAATATTCACAAAAGGCTAAGAAACTCCTGGCACGGGAGGACCTGTCCCATGTGGCAAGAGGTACGGGAACAGGGTTTATTTATCACCATACAGTCAGCATGTAATGTCTTAATTGAACCCCTAACAAACCTTGAGAGGGCAGCAACCTTTAAGCAAACGCTGTCCTTTTTCTTACCACATGCAATCAACTAAGTCACAAAACAGGGAGAGCAATGTCATTTTCCTGTTTGCTTATAAGGGTGTAAATATATGGGCCTCTTAATCTAGCAATGAGGAATTGGCAAGTCTTTTTACTTACAAGTTTGCTTACAAATTTCCTTTTAAATATAAAATTATAGTTTTTCTTATAAATGTACTCAAAAATCCACTCATAAATAACTTTGAAATAAAAACAAATATATTAAATACGTACAGTAGCTACAACTGTTTCTTTGAATTCAGTTTACAGAGCACACTGCCACATGCCTTTCAGAAAGGGATTTAGTTGGTCCTCTGAGGCTGGAAAGAGAAGATTTTGACTACTTCTACTATCCAAATGACAAAATGCCCTCTTTTTTTCTTTTTTTTTTTTTTTCCTGAAGTGCATACAAACTGCAAGACTTTAAGACTTCAGAATAATTTGAACATATATTATAAGCAAAAAGCATTTGAGAGAAAAGATGTGTGGTATCTTTTGCAAGTAATTCAGAATTTTGACTTATGTGCTACAAATTGAAATCTGAGCTCATGTAAAGTTAAAAACTCTTGCCTAAAGTTTCATTAGCCTTTCATTCTGCTCTGGATATTCTTGGTACAGCATATCTTCCATTAAATTCCCCATCGTTACCTCCTTTTTTGGAAGAGGGTAAGTTTTAGCGGAAGATGGAAGTGAACCCTCTGAGGGTTCTGTTTGATCCACCACAAAGAGAGACTGAGATAAAAGAATATAACTAGGATAACTACAATTTTATGAAACCCGAATGCTGTCAACTAAAAAGCCATGAAATGCAAATTATGTACATTGTATTCAAAAGATGTAATTACAACTTGAAAAATAATATATATAAACTATATTGAACAACTTGAAGTTCCTATTTTTCTCCCTTGGAATCTATTACTTGCAGATTTAAAACTACAATATATAGGTTTTGTACCAAAAAGGAAATATTCTATTTGCTGTTCCTGCTTTTTATGATAGAACTATAGTTCTACCAGTTGGTCTGGGCTATACAGCTAACAAATGTCAAAACATATGGACCAAACCATTTATCAAATAATCTACTCCTTGAATAGATAGGCACTATCAGCAATCTGGTATTGATCTTTACAGGCTACTGCTATTGTTCATCTGAGCATCCAGAATGCCAGCAAGAATTAATGAAAGAAACAAAACAATGCATACTAAGCACACAGCACACACTTTCTTTTTTTTTTTTCTTTTTTTTTTTTATGAAGTTTGATAAAATTTATGTAGTTATCAGAAATACATTGCTATAAACAAAGTATGCAGACAGGATGGGAGACATGATGGAAAAATCATTTCCCAAACATTAACTTCTGCAGACTTCCAGTATATTTACTTCTAGATCTCAACTACAAGTAGGTTACACTAATCTAGCATGATAAATTCTTTGCAGTGTGTTACACTGGCATTCACTATAGCTGAGACTAAGATGGCACTTTCATTAAAAGCTCCATTTCAGGACATGTTTAATGTCTTGGACATTTCAAATTACATCTGGCTGAATCTTGGCATACAGCTTGTCAGTCCAGATGCACGGTTTTTGTTTGCTTGTTTTTTTACAGAAAATTGTATAAATTGGTTGCGACATTCATGAGTTCCATTGTGACTAAAAATATTAAATGTTAGTATTTGGGAAAGAGCTTTTTTTTTTTTTTAAAAAAAAAAAAGGAAAACACACACATTTAGTTGCTCCTTTTTCATATTTGTCTGTGCACTTTCTCCTGTATTGCCTTCTGAAATGTCCACAAGTTCACCACATTACTCCTTCAAATTCTATTCTATTTAATGTAAAGTATTTTGATTTCAATGACTAAGAGTTGAGATCATCAACCCACTATGCAAAAGTTTAAACATATGTGTTACAACCACTCTGTGTTCAGTGGCTCCTGTACAAGTAGCACAGTAGAGGAGATGTGATGGGAAAGCAAAGAAGCTATACCCAGATTTATAGCTAACAATTATATTTAGCAGATCTCCTTCTTAGCTAGCACAATGAAATAAAACCACCCAAAGTAAATACAATATGCAAGAAAATCCAGTCTTTTCTGCAGGGTTCAGAAAATAAGGTCCAGATCCCAAACCTCAGTTCTCCTCACTGCCTCCTGTCTTTCCACAGATATTTCTGAGGTACCCATCACGGTTACTTTACTACAAAGAAATATGAGGGAGGAGTACAAAGGAGCCACTGAGAAGCAAGAGGAGCAGCAAAGCAAACAAGCCTGGACTCAAAATCATTGTTCTGAACATTGTCAATACCACTTCCAGACTGGATGATGCTCTTTTCTAAGGTTCTGCTCAAGTAAATAAGATCGTAACAGCACTGATCTTGTTGACACTTTATGTTGAAGAATCTGTCACACTTTTATTGTATACAAGCATTCCTCATCATGAGCTTCTAAGCTTGACAACCTCAATTCCACAATGCAGACATAAATTCAGGAAATAGCTAGGTGTTCAGAAGAACTCTCCAATGTACAAGAGGTTAATATCAAGTCTAAAGGAATAAAACAAGATCTGATATTTCTATTCACATGGCCACTAACAATGTTCTGAATATTACACATTTCTGAAACGCTTCCTATTAACTGACTACATCAGGAGAGTCATGAGTTGCAAGTTTTGCCCAAGTTTTGTTTAAAGATATTACTAATTTTCAGTTATTAGTATTAAATTTAAGTATGTCAGCATTTCCATTGTAAACCCTATTCTCAAAGGTTTATAAAATTATTGGAAAAAACAATTATTCTGAGGTAGCACTCAATACTTACAGGTAAATTTTCAAAGTGCAGCATGCAGTTTTAGCTCCTGATCTCTGAACAAAGTCAGTAAGAAGCTGCAAAGAGGCACCAATGCTTTGAAATTTTACTTCAAAGTCTCACTCCAGGAACAAATTCTGTCACACAAACAAAACAAAACAAAAAAAAAATCAATTTGACCTCTTTAAATCTGAAAAATTCATGCACTGTAACTACTTTTTAATAAAGATTTTCAGTGTTACCTAAATCTGCCCAGATCATAAGCAACAGCTTTGGGGAAAAAAAGAAGACGGAGTAGAGAGGATGGGATGTACGGTATCTGTAAAGGTAGACCTGTTGTTGCTTTAACCAAAAGCAAAACCAGCATAAATACTTACAAACATGTTTCCAGCCTGCTCTACATACAAAAATAAATAAATAAATAAATAAATAAGCACATTTGTTCATGTATCAACATGACTGTAGTAAACTGTACTGATTAAATGCAACTTCAATAATCAAGAAAGATGACCCTTCTCTATTACCAAAAACCAGGTAAATGACTAAATGACTCAAAACCAGTAAAATTATATACTGAAAGATCTGAAGGGGACTACACTGACTATAAAGATGACTGGTGATGTGGCATTGAAGGAAAAACATAATTTTTCATTGATGTAAGGCAGCAGAGCTAGAAAGAACACAAATACAACAGTAGATCCATTAACCGTATGACAAGAAACAGTGTTCACATCCACTTACTAAACTGTTTTTGAATCTTTAGTACCAACATGCAGAATGATCCTTACATTATGTTGCCAAGGAAAACCTAAAATGCATTTATTTCATAATGTAGCTTTCTGCCATTATCATAATAGAGCCATCACAGTTGTTGCAAACACTGTATGGCCTCAAACACCTAAGTCCAACTGTTAAATTGGACATTTTTTAAGAGGAGGACATTTTAAGCCTCCCTAGGGATTTGTGTTGCCTGGCAAACTGCCAGCAGAAACCATCTATTACTACAAAGCCTTGCTTACATGTGAGGGAGGAGGAAATGATCTCAGCTAACAAAGGGGACATATTTGGAACAATGACCAAAGAATGTCTGCTTCAAAGCCATAAAAGTTAACACTGTACACTGACATAGCCTTGGGTGGGATTTAGGCTGAATTGATGAGGCTTAGGGAGCTCATGTTCATTCATGGCAAGTGTTTTTTTCTCTTCTCTGATGTCAAATTACACTTTAAACTTTATTTTTATCCTGAAGCCCATCCCACCCGCTCCCAACACTTAAACTTTGTGCACAGAGAGGCCAAGACTGCATTGCAAAAGGGAAATATAAGATAGTACAGCAACTGAGACTCAAATAAAAGCTCTATAAAATATTCCCTTCTTTCTTTAAATAGGAAGACTGCAATTGACAGGGTTTTTGTTGTTGCTGCTGTTGTTTTGTTATTTAATTATGGCCTTACTTATCAAACACTGCAACAAGTCAGGGACAGATGGACACTTTCTCCTTTGCTTTAGGGTGAAAATCAACAATAACATCCGTACAACCTATACTGCAACATCCATGTTTAAGTCTTTGTTTTAATATTTCATTAATAACATTGTGTGATATTTTAGTCACGTAGCCACTGTATTGATACTATCTTGTCAATTACCCACTAACTCAAAAGAGCTCAGAATGACTAATCAAGAGTTAAATCTATTATATATCCATTTAATTTAAAGTATCATTAATTTCATGAGGATTTGTTTATGTATCGAATCAAACTAAGAAGCACAGACACCTTTGTTTTGCTTGTCTCTTCATATCAAAAGAGCTTTTAGACAATCAAAAATATTTGTGGTGGATTAAAATATGGCACTTGCATTGATCAATGTTCCAGATTTTCAGCATGTGTTGAAGTTTTACTCTTGGCTGTAGCTGAGACAATCCTGACAATAAATTCTCATCTGCATTAGCAATAAAAGTCTTGCTTTTAATTTCACATAAACAGTATTTGCACCAATATGCTGTCTGCACTGAATTTGCATAACCAATATTACAATATTTCTTAGCATTATTTGCATGAATAATTAAATGTGAAAGGTGTGCCTTGGCACATTACATTATCATATGCAGCTCACAAATAACTATATTAATGTTAACTGGTCAACAGTGCAGCATCTTGACATTTACTAGGGGAAGAAGTAAATCAGTTACCAGTTGCATTAATAACAGTATCTTGAAAAATCAAAAGCAAGAGTGAGGAATAGGCTTTATTTTGTTAAGGCATGAATATTGCTTTAGAATTTCATTGAAGTTGTTTTCCTTACTGTCAACATCTCAGTCCCAAGGGACGGCGGTTTGATACACGCGTTACAGATTCTTCTGCAACCTCGTAGCCTGATTAAATAAAGAGACTTTTTCATTTGTGTCTGCACAGGTTTTGTGTCACCTCTCACCAGTTGCCTCCCTATAGCTCAGCTGTATGCTCTGGATCAGAACTTCCTTCTCTATCAGTGTGATCCCAAGAGGCGCAGAGACACCCTCACTCACAGGCCTTAGAGCTACAGAGCCCTAAGACAGAAGTATCTTATTGACTGATAACATATATATGCTCAAAAGCAGTGCATAAAAATTATACACACATTCCCTTGGTGTCCATACACAGTACCTATCTGGGAAAACACTATCATTGTTTCAAAAATAGTACCAGTGTCATAGTACATACATTTAGAACTTGGTGTATATCATTTTAGATTAATGTGACTGGTTATGACAACATCTAAAGCACAACTCTCATTTGTAAAACTACATAGTACAATTATATAAATATGCTTGATATTAACTTGGGGTAAGGGACAAAGATGGCATGGTGTGGCTAAGTGCCTACTAAAGTAGACTTGGCAGTTTACTGTAGGAAAATATAAGCATCACTCTGATATTATACATTCAACCTTAGGAATGGAATTCAAACATCAATCCTAAACTCCTAAAGTGGGAGCAGCTGCTTTCAAGAGCACTGAGCTGGGAAAAAAAAAAAAAAAAGGAAAAGGAAAAAAAACATACTCCACAATCTGCCTAGCTCAGATTACTTATCTGTGCATACTTGTATTATACTAAGAACAGCAATAGGGGATAGGCTTAGATGTGTTGACAATTGAAAAACAAAGAGTACAGGGTACAGAGCTATAGAGGGAAGAAAAAAAAAAAAAAGAAAAAGAGTAAGACTGCTTTGTGTACATGATTTACTAACAGACAAAACTGGAATGAGACTTTTACAGTCTCATTACAGTCTCATTACAGTCTCACCAGGAGCTCTGTCATGCTGCACACCTTATCACTACATTTTGCCATTCTTGTGAAAACTTCTCCACTTACTTTTCTTCATAAATCTCTCCAAGCCATGGTAAACTTTAGTGTGGTAGTACCTGAACAGCTTTGGTACGGATTTCTGCATTCTGAAGCCAGAGTCAATGCTTTTTTTTCTGGGACTGATAGAAATCAGTATTATTCATCTCCATATGCTGTACTGCCACATGGATCTTTCACAAAACCAACCGTACATGATGTAAATACAAAACATAATTTTTTACGTGTGTTCAGGTGGTGCAGAGACATATCGAGAGGTTCACGTGGGGATCACGTTTATTTTTTTTCTTAGTTTTCAACTAAGCACTATGACTACACCCACTTGAATCCTACACATCCTAAAATGTCCTCACAAAAATTCTTAGGTTCATCACTAACAGATGTGTGCTTCCATGTATGTATATTCAAAACAACAGAAAGTAAAATGTTTTAAATATTTACATTTTAATTGAAATATCGTATTTCTTTGACCACCTTCCCTTTACTTGTCACAGTCAAGAGAAAAAAAACAAAAACACACTAGCAAAACTTTTCAGTGTATATCCTGAAGGTATATCCTGAGGTTTCACACTTCTCTGCTGTCAGGGGGTCGTTCTTTGTCTTTTAATCCTCCTTTATTCACAAACACACATAAAGAAGGGCAGCTGGCACATTGTACAACACTTCAGGCTGCATCAGCAAGCACCCATCATTGTCACCTACTGTGTTTTCTATCTGATTTATGTTTTTTTTTAATTTAAGAAGTTACTGTAGATTTAGGTAATTAAAGAGTACTGCTCTGGTGTGATGAATAATCACCACACAATTTGTGTTATACCAAAAAAGTGGAAGTCTCTTTCCTCCTTGCTTCTTAGGCTTTACAGAACAGCTGATGTGCTGCTTTTTATTCCAGATTTTACACTTGCAACGTCCTGGATCTAACTAATTTTATTCATGTTTTTAATGTACCATTGGTAAACAGTACAAGTTCTTTTCTTAAAAAAAAAAAAATGTGAAAAAGTGAAAAACATTCAAGTGCTTATTTAAGAGAATTGTCAGTTTGAGACAACTTTGTTTTTGGAAAGTCTTCCACCTGTACTAATACAAATGCACACAAGATGTGCATTCTAAACTGACACACCCTGGTTCTGTAGCAAGTTTACACTGTTGATGGACCTTCACACAGTCATTTCTTTCAACGCCTGACTGAAAAAAAAAAAAAACAGAAGCACGAAAGAATCACATGCTTCAAAGGTTGAGTACCTGCTTCTGTGGGTTTTGAATCTGAGCACTCCCAATCCACTATGACATCCCACTGGACCTGCTGCAGAAGTTGGGCACATACTCTTCGCAGACAGCAAACGCATTTTTCCTTTTAGGGAAAAAAATATCGCTTGCCGAGGCGATCGGCTCCAAGGCAGACGCGTTCTGCAGCGGAGCGGGGGATCGAGACAAGCAGGGCTTTTTTTTCGGCATCGAGGCCACTCGAGGCAGCCGAGAGAGCCGCCAGGGCCCGGCAACCCTCGCGAGGGAGGCTGATGAGGCATAGGCGGAGCCGGCAGCGCCCCTTCCCCGGCCGTTCAAAAGCGGCCCCTGGGGAGCAGGAGCGACCAGGGCGGGCAAACAGAGCGTGGTGCAGCAGCTCGCGCAGGCAGGGCTGCTCTCTCGCGGCGGTCTCTCCCTTTGGTACTGCTAGCCTGCTTGCGAGAAACCTGATATCAACCAGGCAGAAAACCACGGCTTCCGCATCTCTTGCAGCCTCTCCAGCCACCGACACCGATGTGGCTACTCAGACAGAGGGCTTGGGGAAACACAACGCCATCCAGATCTTGGGCTGCAGGGTGTGCCTGAGTCTTCTGTTCATATCCAACAACAGCAGCAAGGGGTATGCCTGTGGGAGGCATGCCCAGGTTGAAGAGCTACTCAAGTAGTGGAGATTAAGGAGGAGGTGAGCAGGCTCAGGAGCATCGGGAAGTCAGAGAAGGAAATTGACTGGTGGAAGTGTACTCTACCCTCTCTGAGACAGACTGAGGAGCCTGCCTGCCAGCACAAGTGCCTCCTGCTGCACAGAAGACAAAAGTCCCCTCATCCCACCAGGCAGTAAGAGGGGACCTAGGCCACAGGGAGGAATGGAGGCAGGTTCCTGTTAGGGGTGGTAGGCAGGCCCTGTCCCTCACCTCACCTTCCCATCTACCCTTATGTAACAGGTATGAGGCTCTAGAACACCATAGTCAGAGCAGCGAAGTAGACGAAAGCACGTCTCATTTGGAGAGAGTGCCTAAGGCAAGGCAACCTACCCCCACATTGCTACATTGTCTGTCAAGAAAGACAGAAGGGTTATTGTCATGGGGGGCTCCCTTTTGAAAGGGACGGAGGGCTTGACGTGCTGACCAGACCCAACCTACGGGGAATTCTGTTGTCTCTCCAGGGCTCAGGTGAGAGACTTAGTTAAGAAAGTCGAGCACCTGGTACAGCCCCTGGACTACTACCCGCTACTGGTCTTTCAGGCTGGTAATGACAAAGTAGCAACGAGAAGTCTGAGAGCGATCAAAAGGGACTTTAGGGCTTTGGGATGACTACTTAAAGGATCTGCTACTTAAAGCACAGGTTGTGTTTGCCTCTGTCCTTCCGATAGGGGGGATCGATGCTGACAATTGGGCTCACCACATTAACACATGGCTTTGGGACTGATGCAACCAACAGAACTTCAGGTTTTTCGATCATGGGAAGGTCTGCGTGACGCCAGGCCTGCTGTCTCCGGACAGGATGCACCTCTCTCAGAGATGGGTAAGGATTTTGGCTCAGGAGTTGGCAGGACTGATAGATAGGGCTTTAAACTAGAGTTCAAGAGGGAAGGGAATAAAATCAGGCACACCAGTGATGAGCTAAGGGCTGGTGTGCTAGAATCAGAGGGACTATGTGCCAGAGAGGTCCTTCGGTCAGCTCCACCAGGTACTGTGTGTAGGGAGGCGCATTTGAAGTGCTTCTACACAAACACACGCAGTATGAGGAATAAAATGGACAAGCTAGAAGTCTTGGCCCAGTCCCACAGCTACAACATCATCGGCATACGCAAAACCTGGTGGGATGAGTACTGTGGCTGGTGTGCTGCAATAGATGGTTACAGGCTCTTCAGGAGGGACAGGCAGGGTAGGCGAGGTGGCAATGCATGTGAAACATGGGCTGGACTGCATGGAACTTCAAGTTGGGGATGGCAAAGTTGAGAGCCTCTGGGTAAGGATTAAGGGATGAACAAATAAAGGGGATGTCGTTGTGGGAATCTATTACAGACCACCCAGCCAGGACGACAACGCCAATGAATTATTCTTTGCAGAACTAAGAGATGCCTCGAGGTCAACTCCTCTTGTCCTTATGGGAGATTTCTACTTGCCAGATGTCAACTGGGATCACCACACGGCTGACACGAGCAAGTACAGGAGGTTCATAAAGCACCTAGATGATAGCACCTGCACCAAGAAGTTAAGGGAGCCAACTAGGAAAGGTGCCCTCCTTGATCTGTTGCTGGAGAACAGAAAGGGTCTTGTGGGAGACATGCCAATTGGCATACGTCTCAGTCACAGTGACCATGAAGTAGTTGAGTTTAGAATTTATGGTGACAGAAGGAAAACAGCCACC